CAGTACCATCCCTATCGCATAGTCACTAGCATCGCACATCAACTCAAATGGCAATTTCCTATCTGGTGTGGCTATAACACGTGCGAAAATTAAATTTTCTTTCAGAGTGTTGAAGGCTATCAAACACTCTTTAGAAAAGTTGAATGGTATGTCCTTTTCCAAGCAAGTTACAAAGCAGCTTTGCAATTTTGAAGAAATCTTTAATAAACCTCCTGTAGAATCCTACATGACCAAGAAAATTACGCACTCCTTTAACTGAAGTTGGTGGATGTAGCTTTTCTATCACCTAAATCTTTTCTTTATCCACCTCAATACCATCTGTTGAAATCTCGTGTCCAAGTACTATTCTTATTGTACCACAAAGTGCCAATTTTCCTAGTTTAGTACCAAATTCGTTTCCTCACATTACTATAGGACCATTCCTAAATTTGAGAGGCAATTCTCAAATGATGAATCGAACACTGAAAAGTCATCCATGACGACTTCAATGATTTTCTCCACCATATTTGAAAAGATTACCATATGTATCGCTGAAATATGGGATGGGTATTACACAACCCAAATGGCATCCTTCGTATGCAAAGGTACCACAGGGACACGTTAATGTAGTCTTATCTTGATCTTTTGGAGCCACTACAATCTGATTATATCCGGAGTACATATCCAAAAAGTAGTAATGTGAATGCCCGGCAAGTCTTTCCAACATCTAATCAGTGAAGGGTAAGGAAAAGTGATCTTTTCTAGTTGCATTGTTCAGTTTCTTGTAGTCTATGCACACTTTCCATTTCGTAACTGGCCTTATTGGTATCAGCTCATTATTTTCATTATTCACTACTGTAATCCATCATATCTTTGGCAAAACATGAATCAAACTAACCCACTTGCTATTAGAGATCTGATAGATGATGCTTGTATCAAAGAAATTCAATACCTCTGCTCGTACAAATTCAATACCTCTGCTCGTACTACGTCTTTCATGGTGGGTTCAATCTATGTTGATTTTCCACCATTGGTTTATACTATTCTTCCATTAAGATTTTGTGTATACATATCCATGGACTAATCCCTCTTATGTCTGTTATAAACCACCCAATGACTGTTTTATGTTCTTGTAGAACTCTTAGTAATCTCTGCTCTTCCAGCTCAATCAACTTATTTGCAATTATCACAAGGAATGTAGATGACACTTCTAATCAAGCATACCTCAGATGTGATGGCAGTTGCTTGAGCTCAAGATTTGGTGCTTTCTGAAACTAGGCCCTGTACCAAGATCCTCAAACTATTTTCTTCTGATGGGTGAGATAGACTCCATAATGTAGGCGATCTGACTTATCTCTTCAACTGTTGATTTTTTTTTATCTTGTGAGTGTATAAGAAAGTTCTCCAAGTGGTCTTGAGGGTGCTCAAGAATAAAAGTCTCTTCCACAGCCAAATACACCATATCAATGTACAAACAACTATCTGATTCTATAGGATACTTGATCGCACTGAAGATGTTGAAAATCACCTGCTCATCATTTAGTCACAATATCAATTATCCTTTTTGAACATCTATTAAAACTTGACACTTTACAAGGAATAGCCTTCCTAATATCAATGGTTCGTCCTTAGCTTCTTCAACCATGTCTAGAATGACGAAATCCACAAGATAGATAAATTTATTGATCTTCAGCAATATGTCTTCAACAATTTTCCTAGGAAATCTTATGGACATGTCTGCCAACTGCAATGAGATCAATGCTGCCTTTGTCTCTCCTAATTTTAGTTTCCTGGAAATAGAATAAGGCATAAGGTTAATAATAGCACCTAAATCACAGAGAACCTTATCAAATTTCATTTTACCATTAGTACAAGGTATAGTAAAACTCCCTGGGTCATTTAGTTTAGGTGGCATCTTATTCTATAAAATGGTACTGCATTCTTCATTGAACATCACTGTTCCCAAATCCTCTAACTTATTCTTGTTTATGAGTATTTCCTTCATAAATTTCTCATAGCTGGGCATTTGTACAAGTGTATCTTCAAATGGTATGTTGATCTGCAGCTTTCTGTATATATTAAGAAACTTCGAGAACTACTTTTCCAACTTATGCTTCTATAGCTTATGTGAGAATGGGAGTGGTTGAACAATTTTTTTGGCAGAAGCAGTTACGTTAATCATTAATCCTTTGATGTTTTCTCTTGCTGTTTGTTTTGCTCACTTTCCTCTAAGTGCTCCTCAATCGTGGTAGGTATATTCTTTTGTGTAGCAATTGGTCTCTTTATAGTTATTTTAGGCAACTGTACCTGTAATACTCTGAAATTTTATGCTCGTTTAAATTTCTTTGGGATAGCGATTTACTTTCAATACTATTTTTGGCCATAAGGTAAAAGGGGACACCACCTTTGTAGTGGTTAATGTTAGAGGTAGTTAATGAATGTAGGCATGAAGAGTCAAAGGTTGTGTACGTATGAAGTGATTATTAGTTAGTCGAAACTTAAGGCAAGTTTGGATTTAAATGAAGGAGATTATTTTGTTAGGACTTCAATTGACCAAATGATTAAATTATGTTACAATCTACAATTTTTGAATATGTAAGTTGGGTATAATTTTAAATTTGGGGCACACTTTGTTAACAATGAAAGTTAGCGGGTTTAGATTATATTAGTTGAAAATATGAGAGGTTTCCTTTGTAAATCTAGGTTTAAGCCCACTTATTACCCTATAATCAACCCACTTGTTATCCATCATCACCATACACTTAGACAATAGACTAAACATGTGTAAAGGTAAGAAAAAAAAAGGAGAAAAGGGGTGAGGCGGTGGAGTAGAGAAAAGGAAGAAAAAAAATATCAAGCCTTATCCTTATCCTTGTATATATATAAATATATCCATATCCATTGTCATAGAGAGATTTCCTTCATTTTACAAAACACTTATACACTTAAATAGAGAGCAAAAACCGAAAATAAGAAAGGAAAGGGAAGGAAGTAAGACTAGCACTTCTAATTTACATCTCAACCGAAGATCTTCAAGTTTTACGGTAAGATACTTTCCATGCTCCAGAGTTATGATTTTCATGGTAATATTTATGCTTAAGCTATGCATGAAAAACCATAATATGATTATGGTGGACAAGTCCACAAAGTTAGATATCTATTTATGCCTTAGGACAAGTCCGAAGGGCACCGGCAAGCCGGAATGTGCAAGTATGTGTTTGATTGCATTCTTTTGTGTAGTATTATCATGATAAAAATCCAAGCATGGTATCTTACTGAGTATTTCTTATACTCATAGTATGTTATGCTAAATTTTCAGATCCATGATCGTTGAATTGATGGAAGTCAGTTGGCTTAAGCGATGATGGATTAAGGACAGATGTTTTAAACCGAAAGTTTTCTTTTGTATGTTTTGCTCGATGACTGTTTTTCCATTTATTTTTCTTATGGTATTATGTAAAATATGTACATGACATGATGAAATATGGTATTAATAGTAAATTTTGTAATTATATCTTTCATGTTATGTTAAGAGACATTTTTATAGTTTATTTTACTTGCAAGTGATAAAAGGCAGAAACGGGACAGTTTCCGGAGTCATTTTCAAAATGATGTTTCTAACTCTATAAACGTCCATTTGAGACTCTAAAAATATTCCTGTTTTCCTCTTTGAGTTTTCTAAATATGGCCGAAGGAATCACTCAATTTGGATATCTATGGCCTGAGTTATCAAGGTTTCAACGTCAAGGGGTCAATCTGGATTTCCTGTGTAATACTTCACTGTTTTCAGAAAAACGTCTATATCATATGATCTTGGAAAATTTTCATATTTTAATGTAGAAAACTAATTGAAATTATCTTTCTAATGCCACAAATTTCATAGAAAACGGAGTTGGGATGAATTTTATAAAAATTGTCAAACTTGCTGCCTCAACTAATCTTGATAATGCCGAGGCCGTATATGTAAAGTATAATTTATTGTCGACATGCACTTCTGTTGGCTATCAAATTTTATAAGACTTATTTTACCGAGTTGAAAATAAGTTCTTAACATGAAATACTTCTATTTAAGAGTATTTACATGTACCAAAGGCAGAATCTATTATGTTTAGTACGTGACCCTCGAAGTTTAATTTTGGGGCGTCACAGTACCCCATTGAGAATGGTTATAGCCTTGCAGTACTCCTTAGGTTTTGTTTCTATATCACTGGGCAATGTTCCTGGTAGTCTTTCTGAAAGTGCCATGTCTTTTTGTCCTATTTGATTCTCCAACTTTTTTATAAC